AAAAGAATCCAATAAAGCATAAATTAAAACAACTGTAACTGTTTTATACATTATTTATTTATGTCTGTGTAGGCATTCACATGAGCTTTATATGTGTAGTCCATTTCCAATCTAGAAATATTGTATATTCTGACCAGAATAAATGTATTTGTTTGAAAGTCGATATGTTATCATCATATGACCTACATTAGTATAAATATTAGTTCCCGGGTGCCGTTGTACAAAACAACCTTAGACCTAAGACTGCCGTAGGTCTGTCTCTATGTTAAGGTATTGAAGTTACGATCACCAACACGCTAATATTGCTTTCTACAAGGACACCCAGGATATTTATATGAATTATATATGATAGTATGTCGTATTAATGTGACGAGAATAGAAATCAATATTGTAATCAGAAAAAGCACGAGTACTTCGTATGTTAGCTGCGATAAAATCAATTGTTGGTAAGCCATATTCGCTCATCAGTTTTGCAAAAACATGAATGAAAATTATGACTTACGATGAACAACTTCCCTATAACTTGTCGGATGGCTGCCAGTCATCGTTTCCGCAAAGATAAATCGACCGGAACAACGATGGAAACTCATAAATTTATTTCATCTCGCATCGGAAACACATTCGAGAACACGGCGATGCTCCGATGCCATTTTGACAGCTTGCGGGGATAGCCTCATTCTGGAGTTTGACCCCAGGGTCACGCATAAATATTAAGAGACGACTAAGGTCCTTTTTCCTTATCCGTCCAGTGTGTGGATATAAAAACAAAAACAGGCAGAAGGATTTGTAAAAAAATTTTTTTTTATTAATTTGCTTCAATTTTATCACGTGTCTTTGAACATTCCACAAATGCATTGTGGGGCCGAGCTAAGATGTAAACAAAGCCGAAATTCGGTATCGCTGATTATTGTGATTTGAGGTGTTTTCTGTTGTACAAATTGCAGCAACTTAAGCCATGAAATAGTGTTTACCGAGGGGGTTGCTCTACATGTTACCGTAACCGACGAGGATCGACGGCCTGGGGCGTGATATGGCGTCGACGTGAGACGAACGTGGTGGAGGAAGAGCAACAGCGGCCGGTTTGTTTGACTGCTGCATATTATTTAATGCCGTACGCTGAGCAACAGCTAGATGCACATGATGTGGTTATGAAACTTTCAAAGGATTGCTCATTTCGTGTGTTTGTGAAGGTTTGTTGTTTAACGCCGCACTCAGCAATATTCCAGCTATACGACGGTGGTCTGTAAATAATCGAGTCTGGACCAGATAATCCAGTGACTGATGTCATGACCATCGATCCACGCTAAAGATGTAGTTAATTCGTAGGGCACCAACGCCCGCATCGAACAATTTTGTGACTGTTAATTCCATGCAATCTGAAACGAAATATGGTAAGACTGTAGTAAGACTTGTATATCTAGTATATCTCAGAGTGATCGGCACAAGCAGTCGGGCGCCAAACTATGTCATGCTCCTAGCCAGACACGTTACATTGACGTCATAGCTCGCCCCTTCGTCTGTCAAAGAAACCTACGTCGGTTGGTAAGTTATCAGTTTGTACTTCAGAATCTTGTAGGAAATTAAATGAAACAAACATTGTTAATATAGTAAGATTGGTGTACAACAGAATACGTTTTGAAGGAATCAGGTCCCTGCTTCACACAATGTTTGAACCCAGAGGTTTGTTTAGCCCGTCCTTGGGGATAAACAAACGTCTGGATGTAAAATTCCACGCCTCGTTTCAATTGAAAAGCTTGTTCTATTCTAATCAGTATATTGCAAAATATATGCTTGTACGTTTCATCCTCTGAACTAATAACAATTATTTACAACTGAGACTCAAGACTATATAAGATTATTCTAAATCTGTTCAGTCAAGTGTCGGTTGTGTGTTTTCGCTCACATTTTTTAAAACGTTGTTCTGCATCATAGAATGGCAGAAATCTGCTGAAATACATCCCAACTATTGACCAGGGCCAAATGTACCAGCCTCAATATTTTTACACTCAGCTTCGTTCTTCTAATCCGGAAAATTTATGTGCAGGGCACCAACATTTTTTTTTTAAGGATGGCAAGGAAATGTAGAATATATAGGGTCAAAAGTGCACGATTCTCATTATTTTATGATTAAGCTAGAACTGACGTTAAAGGCGAAAACAATTTGGCGCATGCCACACGGACAATCGGCATTTCCATTAACACTGTGTAACACAGGCGCTTAGTCAAGTAGACCTGTTTATCATATAATGGGTAGGTTTCCAACGGATAAAAACGATATCCGCTGGGGTCATATGCGGACAGAGATGCAAATATCAAAGGTCAAGTAGGGACTACTTTCACTGTTTATAAACAAACATGGCGTCGCCCTCGTCATTCGGCGATTGAGTCAGAATTAACCATCGGGAATCCGGATAAACTACAGGGATGATTGCTATCATTATCAAAAGAATAGTCTAATATACTGAAAATCAGTGTCTAACTGTGACGTAGCTAAGGCATTTTATAAGTTTTGGCAACTTTGGAGATATAAATTTCGAAATAATTTTGCGAGGGCACGAGGCCTAGCTAAGCGGGATCAGTAGCCATATCTGTGCTTGTAGACCTCTGCGGCTTGAAACCTTCTCCACAAATTAAAATACTTGGATTTGGCCGAAATATGTTTGAATTGTTACCTTGTTTCGTTTTGTCGCTGTGTGTACATCTGACTACACTTCTTAACGTTATGACACGACAGACCGACTGTCAACATCGTCTGACCGTGGCCGTGACGTCTCATAGACTAGGGTAAGAGTACCTTCCCTTTGACAAAGGGCAGTTACTCTAGCGGACAGACCGATGGATTGCCGCGAAAGGCAATTAAGAACAATTGTTGTTTTGCGTATATGTTGCTTCGCCACTGTATAAGAAACAGATTTCAGTTGGAACTATATTGGCTACTGTCACTGTCCGACTGACAAATCACTAACCCTGTGACGAAATAAATATTAATGCGAGCATTCCAGGAAAACTCGCAATGTTTCGGTGATGTTTGTGAGAGAGGGAAAGCGATTTTGAAACACAGAATTAAAGAATGATATTATATGATAAAGAGGTTATCACGCTTGTGTATTTGGGGATGGTAAATATCCTGTATTAGGAATAAATGCAGTATATTTACCATCCCCAAACACACTCGCGTTATAACCTCTATTGCCCTTTTACATTCATTGCATCATCATGGAAATGTCATCACTGAAATATTATTTTGTAGCATGTCGTATATCGACGTTTGAAATATTGTATTGCCCGAGACCTCAAAACTATGTAAAATGCACCAGTTTCAGAGTCTAGTTAAGAGAGTGTTTGTATGGGGGAGTTGGGGACTAAAACATCAAGCAAAGTCACTTGGAACAACAAATAATTTACGATAGGTCGCAGCACACTACATTTAGTAGCCTGTTATCATCAGTTGGCAAAGGCAATATGGACATAGAGAAACTATCAAGACGGTTGTCGATTTGACGATGTAAAAAATGTGTAAAGTGTCCACTGTCCACAGACGTTGAAATGCACGAGAAATATATTTTCCTCTGTTTGAATTACACTGTTTGCCGTCATATCCTGATCAAAATATATATAACGATGAACATTGATTCTCACTGACAACAAATAGATCTACCTATATAAATACACAGGAATAACATAAAAGGCAATGGAAATTAGAAAACAATGTTCAGTATTTGACCTGCATGTACTATGTAGGTTTGCTATTCACAGTATTAATACTCATATGCAGATATTATGCCACAACGAAATAACGCACCAACTTGCGGACACCAATTTATTGTCATAGCAATTCCAGCCAAAATTAACAAAGTCAAACTAAAATACTAATCATTCCATAATTTAGAATTATGGGTAGGTAGCCGATGTTCATGGCCTCATCGGATGTTCCAATATAATAAATGCACATATTCTGTGTTTCAGTTTAATTTAGATCTTGTCTTTTTTTCTGTGAACAGCAATATAAACTAACATGTTTAGTCCTCATTTCCTTGTAAGGGTAACATATAAACCCCTTAAAATGGCATATGTTTACTAGCCTAGTCGTTATGATATCTGAACTGTTGGAGTGTTTGGCAAGGACTGCCAATTTCTATCGGTGGTGTAGTAATGTTCATTTATGTTGTATGTTGTATGATTATGTTCCAAACAAAATAACAATCTGTTAGTTCAGTTCCTGCAACATTTCAACCAAGAGAAGAGATATATCTCAGCGGTTAGCACAGAGGCAGTGTGCAGCTTGGACTAATTAAGGAAGTGTTTTGTCCTATAGACGCAGGGGTTAGATTAAAAGTAATCTGAATCTAATAAATTTAAGTGATTTCCAAGATTTGTCAGTCACCATGCTACGGTATATTAATAATTCCTATGCCACAGCAAATGTATTATAAGCCAAGTTCATCAGTGAATAAATTTGACACACATTTGTTGAAAGTCAAAAAACACTCTGGGGCCAGTACTTATAATGTTTACCGTCAATATATAGCTTTCAGCATATATGGGGTGTGGGGGTGGGGTGTGTGGGGTGGGGGTGGAGGGTGTGTGTGTTTGGGGGGGGGGGGGGGATGCTTCTTTGTACGAGATGTTGGTCACATCAACATATAACAAATACATGCCAGACATTTCACTCCACAAACCTTCACATGAACAGTCTCTACAATAATAAGCTGATAAATGTAATCTCTTATTATCCTATTAATTTGAAAAAGTCAACAATTGTATTGACAGTGCCAAAAAGCGTGTGTTGTATATTTAGGATTGTCGTTTGGGTGATTTGTTAGTCGCTAGACTACCTTATATATGTACCTCTACTAAGATAGATGGTTTTGAAATTGTATTTATCAGGGAAAATTTCAAATACATAAAATATGTCGATGGCCATATCTTGTATGTAAAGAATCTAATGCTTATATGGTTTGTATTATGTTGTTTATTGAACAGCATGTTCTGTGTTACAGCCTCGAGTGATCCGAGTCGGACCAAGGGGACACCAGTGACAACACAAAAGCCTGCTACACAGGGTAGGTGGGGGAACCCAGCAGGCACAAAACTCACACTTTAATCCCTCCAACAATTGACAAGCTGGGGTATAGACCCGTGTAGGTTCCAACTTGCTACTTGCACGCCATCGTATCTCACTTGTGTAGATTGGTGCTCATGTTGTCAACCACTGGATTGTCTGTTTCCGCCATCTTATTGCTGGTCTATTGCTGAGTATGGCGTAAAACAACAAACAAACAGGCTGACATACATCAATGTAATATATTATTATCCTCATATTTCCAAACAGCAACGATACTGACAGTATCATCTTATAAAGCTCAATTCATCATACGTTAACACTCTGAAGCCGTACATAGATAAATGTTACAACTGCTGGATGTAACAGAAGGTGAGGTGAGGTGAAATTGGGTATAACGTCGCGTCCAAGATTATTGCACTTGTATAGCGACGATTTATAGTGCTAGCTCACTGAGATACCATGCCGCAGTTTAATATGAATACCCCACGCAGACACAGTATACTGACTCCGAACCGACCAGTCCTTGATTTAGCTCCTTAATGCCGAGCGCCAGACAGGGTAACAACAAGTACCATCTTTTAACGTCTTTTGGTATGACACGGCCGGGGATCGAACCCCGGACCTTCCGCTCTCCGGGTGGACGCTCTACCACTGGACCACGGAGGCGGTCTGGATGTAACGGAAAGATTTGAAACATTGACTACATAATCCTTGATTACATGAACCAGCTGTCGCCCTTCCCCCGAATCGTTGTATTGTCAGCCATGTTGGCAGTGTTTGATGACGTATCGTGTCACGTATCCACGCGTTGAGGTGTGAACTTTGTATATGTATGACGAAAATGTCTGGATTTGTACAGAGTTTACATTGTGTTCCAGCGACTCCATCACCAGCAGACTGCCGCCACCATTGTGACGCCAGCGAGAACGGGAACCTGGAGGAGGTGAAGCGGCTCCTGTCACTGAACGTCAACGTCAACTGTAGGGGAAGGTTGAGAAGGACACCTGTGATGAGGGCAGCATGGGGGGGACACAGAGACGTGGTGGAGCTCCTGGTGAGTAGAGGAGCTGATGTGTCACTGGTGGACAGGAACGGTGACAACATCTTTCACCTCACTTGTTGGGGAGGAGACATGGAGACGGTGAAGTTTGTGCTGTCACTGAACGTCGACATCAACAGTAGAGGATGGAGGAGCTTGACACCGGTGATGAGGGCAGCAATCGATGGACACAGAGACGTGGTGGAGCTCCTGGTGAGTAAAGAAGCCAATGCATCACTGGTGGATGAGGGCGGTGACAACATCCTTCACCTCGCCTGTAGTGGAGGAGACATGGAGACGGTGGGGTTTGTGCTGTCACTGAACGTGGTGGGCATCAACAGTAGAGGATGGAGGAGCATGACATCAGTGATGTGGGCAGCACTGAGGGGAAACAGAGACGTGTTAGAGCTCCTGGTGAGTAAAGGAGCCAATGTGTCACTGGAAGACGAGGATGGTGACAACATCTTTCACCATGCCTGTAGTGGAGGATACATTGAGACAGTGGAGTTTGTGCTGTCACTGAACGTGGTGGACATCAACAGTAGAGGATGGAGGAGCTTGACACCGGTGATGAGGGCAGCATGGGAGGGACACGGAGACGTGGTGAAGCTCCTGGTGAATAAAGGAGCCGATGTGTCACTGGTGGACAAGTACGGTGACAACATCCTTCACCTCGCCTGTTTTGGAGGAGACATGGAGACGGTGGAGTTTGTGCTGTCTCTGAGCGTAGTCGACATCGACGCCAAGAACAACTTGGGGGAGACAGCGGCGGACGTGGCGAGAGACTGGGGACATCAGCGAGTGGCGGATCTGCTGGAGTCCCGCGGCGCTCAGTGACGTCAGTGTCGTGTTTGTGTAGACGGTGAAGGAGACGCTTACAGTGACGTGGTGTGCCGTTCACGTCGTTGTGTGTAAATATGTCATGATTAGGGTGAAACTGCTTGTTGGAGAAAATACAACTTGTAAAAAGTTTTTCAGACATTTTGTCATTTGTTGTGTTTTGAACTTCGCATAATCAGGTAAGAAAATTGTTAACTGAATGTAAATCGAGATGATGTATGATTGGTATGTAAACACACATCTTCCCGAGGCAAGTGAGTTAACTGACTTTAAAAGTCCAGTTTCCACCCTTGCCGAACTAGGCTGGTATTATGGAGTTACATTTATGGCTGGACTAACGAGTTTATGCATAGTCCAATCAAAATCGCGCACCGAAATCGAAATCCGGTTTGTAAAGTGTCATGCAGATTTCGCATTCGTCACCACTCGCCCCTTTCTGTAACACTCAAGAAGACTCGTCCCCCTATTGATGAATGTATGTGCGAAAATACGACAAACCAATCGGAATGCGCGTATGATTTCAAGTTCTTTGTCAAATACGCCCTCAGAAATAAGTTTTGATTTTACTTATGTCTATACCCAAGACACAGTGAAATGTGTTCAATCATACTGCATAATGTCGCACGTCCCGATGACCTTTAAATTGCATCTGAAATATATATAATATATGGGGAAATATATGTGAACCATTACGCAACGAGTTGACAATTGTTTTAGGTATGCCCGTTTGCGCTAAGACGGAACCTAGTTGCAAAAATGGCACGAGCACGAGTCGCTATTCGGCTTGTCCCGGAATAACACGAGTTGGTCACGAATGGCAGATTTCTGTCGACTGCGGGATTTACAAAGCATGTGCACCGCCAACTCGTTGTCAGCAAATATTTTCTAAATCTTTTCATGTTTTGAACTGACTTGATTCACTTCGCGATGTAAGACACGTTTTATCACAATATAGATCTTGATTATCGATCAGATCGTCTTGACTGGGCGCCAACGTTTTGTTTGAAGCAAACGCAAGTGATACGAGAGGTGGAATCTGATTGGTCAATGGGAGAGGCATAGAAGGGACATAACTCGTAATAGCCAGTGGGGGCGCTACGATCGAGCCCAGGAATTCCAGCCTAGTTCGGCAAGGGTGGAAACTGGACTTTTATAGTCAGTTAACTCTCTTGCCTCGGGAAGATGGCTTTCCTGTATACGTTAAACCTTTTCTATTGCACAAAGAAGGTATCTGTACACAATTTTCATTTGGTAGTAAGCTTGCAAGTTTGTGCATGAATTTTGAAGGGGTCATAATTGCATAACTTGACGGGAAAATGCATAATTTGACAAAATTGGCTGTAATATTTTTCATTAAACTATCCGAATTATAACTTTAATCACAGGTAATATGTTCGGTTACATGAATATGGCAAAAACTTTGTTTCATTTAACTGTTATTATAATTCTCAGTGAAAACATTGATAGAAGTCATTTTTTTCTTCTTCTTTTATCTATACCGAAACGTCGCTTTTCATAGTATTAAAGAAGTTGTTATCCATAAAAATTGTGTCTATCTTGTCATCCATCAACTTCTAAGTAATGCCTATCAAACAATTTAAACTCCCTTGCCTCGGGAAGATATAAGTGAACATTATTTAAAGTCACATGCACTTGAACCTAAAGAGGTAACATGAGCTTCATGAAATAAGGAGTGAGTGAGTGAGTGAGTGAGTATGAGCACGTGGTTTAATGTGGCTTTTGACAATACTACATTAATATCATGGCGGAGGACACCAGGCTTCACACATTATACTCATTTCGGAAATTAATCCCGTATCTGGCATGATGAGTGTAAACGTTAACCCAGAGACACTGAGACTGACTACAACTATTTACATTATGGAGACAACAACATCAGATCCAAGGTCAATTGGTAACTTTTTCAGTGATATAAACTGTTGATCAAAATAAAGAGTGCAAATGATATGCTTGTCGTAAAAGGCGACTAACGGGATCGGGTGGTCAGGTTCGCTGACTTGGTTGATGCATGTCATCGATCCCAATTGCGTGGATCGATGCTCATGATATTAATGACAGGATTGTCTGGTCAAGACTCGATTATTTACAGACCGCCGTCATATAGCTGGAATATTGCTGAGCGCGGCGTTGAACAACAAACAAAACAAACACTGGCTACGTAGTGAGTTTTTATTTATCGGGAATAAGTTATAGTTTCAGGATAGACACATATATACATAAATACAACCAATTTATATCACATTATAATTATTATAACCATTTCCCTTACACAAGGAGTAATTCTAATAAGTATCCTTAGAAAGCATACACAATAATGATACTGTACAGCAGTAATGGCATTGCCATTAACACATTTGGCAGGCAACCGTTCAAGTACGATAACTCCCTGGTAATGCTACCACTTTGCAATACTTCATACTAAAGCAGATCCGTGAAGATTCCGGGGTAGAACAGATCTTCAGGAACCCATGCTTGCCGTAAAAGGCGACTATGCTTGTGGTAAAAGGCCACTAACGGGATCGGGTGGTCAGGCTCGCTGACTTGGTTGATGCATGTCATCGATCCCAATGGCGTGGATCGATGCTCATGATATTAATCACTGGCATGTCTGGTCCAGACTCGATTATTTACAGACCGCCGACATAAAGCTGGAATATTGCTGAGTGCGGCGTTAAACAACAATACAATCCAATCATACTAAAGCACACGTTATGATGAACGTTAGAACACATCGCATACTAAAGATAGAGAGTTATGTTTCCACATAATAGTATATATTACATAATTATATATTACACAATAAGTCTATACCGTGTGGATGACACTGGCTGTAGATGTCTTCTAGTGGGACGGTTAAGGCTGGATTTTTTCAAAATTGTGCACTTTAGATTTAAAACATCAAGCCTGGCACACTTATACATTGAACCATTTCGAACATTTCTGGATATGGATCCACCTCAGCATGTTCTCTAGGGTGGGTTGTAGCGAGGATATACTTGAACGGGCATGCAATCAAACTCTCTGACTTAACCCAATGTAAACCCGCTAAAAGGCCGCTAAAAGATTGAAAGGTCTATCCGATGAGAAACAACACTTCTGTATTCATTCGTGCTTGAGAATTCCCCGGGTTTTCCCCAGGAATGTGGAAGTAGTCAGTCAGTGTTTAATACAGTCTTGGGAACAAGTTATGAACGTCAAAACGTCGGTTTCGCGGTCATATGACCGACCACTCGTCCAATGGAAAAGCCGTATATTGTGTAAACTTCAAATTAAAACATTACTCAAAATTATATAACACCACTATGACGTCAGAAGGAATGACTTCATCACAGCAGTAATTTGGATATGGCGAGGCACGGGTTATTCGGCATGCATGGATGAAAAATAGGGAGTCTCACCTAAGTGCTGGCCAGGGATATTTAAACCTTCAGTGCTGATGTAGTTGATATCAAAAGAAACAAAGGTGAGATTCTATTTTCATCCAAAATCATTCCTCCTACTTTTCTTTGTTTGGAAACAGTAAAAAACAGTGTATTGAGAGTTAAAGTACATCTATCAAGCTTCCGTGACAGACAGATTAGTGATGTCATTTGACTATTACATCATGGTAACCGATGACGTCACAATGGTCAACAAATCATTGGGATGCAATTTCAAAGTAGCGACGACATCTCCTCGCTTGAACTCATCCAAGCAAAACTGTTGGACATCTTCTGCCACTAATGCCCCCATCTTATTCAGGCATCAACTGTCACTAATGTCACTATCTTATTCAGGCATCGACTGTCACTAATGTCACTATCTTATTCAGGCATCGACTGTCACTGATGTCTCTATCTTATTCACATCATGACTGTCACTTATGTGTCTCTCTTATTCAGGCCTCGACTGTCACTTATGTCTCTATCTTATTCAGATCGTGACTGTCACTAATGTCTCTCTCTTATTCACATCATGTCTGTCACCAATGTCTCTCTCTTATTCAGGCCTCGACTGTCACTAATGTCTCTATCTTATTCAGGCATCGACTGTCACTAATGTCTCTATCTTATTCAGGCATCGACTGTCACTAATGTCTCTCTCTTATTCAGGCCTCGACTGTCACTAATGTCTCTATCTTATTCAGATCGTGACCGTCACTAATGTCTCTATCTTATTGACATCGTGACTGTCACTAATGTCTCTCTCTTATTCAGATCGTGACTGTCACTAATGTCTCTCTCTTATTCAGATCGTGACTGTCACTAATGTCTCTCTCTTATTCAGATCGTGACTGTCACTAATGTCTCTCTCTTATTCAGATCGTGACTGTCACTAATGTCTCTCTCTTATTCAGATCGTGACTGTCACTAATGTCTCCATCTTATTCAGATCGTGACTGTCACTAATGTCTCTCTCTTATTCAGATCGTGACTGTCACTAATGTCTCTATCTTATTCACATCATGACTGTCACCATTGTCTCTCTCTTATTCAGATCGTGACTGTCACTAATGTCTCTATCTTATTCACATCATGACTGTCACCAATGTCTCTATCTTATTCACATCATGACTGTCTTTAATGTCTCTCTCTTATTCACATGTTGACTGTCACTAATGTCTCTCTCTTATTCAGATCGTGACTGTCACTAATGTCTCCATCTTATTCACACATTGAATGCTGTCGTTACAGAGAATGTACTTTGCAATGTCCGCCGATCTCAGCCACGTATAGATGACCCCTGGGGGAGAAACAAATGGACTGACATGAGAAGACATGATCAACATCACCAGAGTAGTCTCCCTTTGAAGTCACCTTGACAACCCCGCCATCTTGAACAATGTACACATTTCCCAGTAAATCGCAGGCAAGGCCAGACACGATTCTATTTTTAACATATTCGGAAGTCGCTTGACATGTCGTGCTTCCGGTCTTAGATTTCCAAATTAGACTTGAATTTGTAGAATCCCATATCACGAAACCTTGTTTGATGTCAACGCTGAAGGGGATATCCTCCCGCAGGCGATCGAACACACGGAATGTCTTCATGACCTTGCCCTGCAGACTGAGTACGTCTAAACTGGCCGAGTCGGCACACAGCGCTGCCGTCATTCCAGGGCGATAGTGCATAAGACGAGTGTAAGATTTGGTTGATTGAATCGTGCTGATAATCTTCAGTTCCTTTCCAACGGAAATAACTACAATTTTCTTATTCTCTGGAAAACTGACAAGTGCTCTGTCCTGTGACGCAACAGCTAGTCCATAGGGTTGAGACTGGAACGATATACTCGAACAGAGACCGTCCTGGTTAAATATCTTCACCGATTTATTTGCCGCGTCAGTCACCATGAATAATTCCTCCGACAACGCAACAATGCTTTTGACAACAGGCAAGGACTCGTCGTCACTCGTACTCAACTGATACGTTCTCATCACATTGAAAGAGATGAGCTTCTTCTGTGTACTCGCGCATTCATCTGAATCAGTATTCAGATCAACTACTAGTTCATAGCCGCTGTAACTATTTCTCGTAGGTTGTTTTGAGCTTGACTCGTTGTCAGGCACTTGAGGTGAAGGTGTGGGCTGGACAAGCTCCGGATCCCTCTCCCCACCGGGGTAGATAACAGGAGCTGAGTGCCTGAACAGCGAGGTATCAACCAGGGGTAGTGCAGAGCTACCTCCCCCTGTCGCCAGCACGGGTATATTTGATTCATCACTGTCTCTACCCAGGTACGGAGTCACTGGATTCATTGGATGTTCATTCACTATTCCAAGTTCCCTTTTGCTCCAACTTTCATTAAACCAGGGAACAGAAGTCGATCTTAGCATTGTATTTGTGTGATGTCGAAGGGAGACGGCCTCCTCGCGGCACGGTGGCACGCAATCGGATGACAGTGACCTTGGCATGTCTGCTGAAACTCCATCAGAGGCAGGGACTCTGGAGTTATAGAAGGCGACTGAACCAAGACTGAAGTCTTTATCGAGCCAGGAGAAATCAGGAGTGAATGATATTCTCATCCTTTCATACTGGAGACTTTCTGCTGAACTGACAGATGTCAGCGTCTTCTGTATCTTTCTCTTCAACTGTTCAGTGGTGTCAGAATCCTGGTTCCTTATCGCCGTAGCAGCAGACATTGAATTCCTGAGTTGTTCCAGGTGCTCCTTGGCTGCAATATGCTGATTCTCCAGGCTTCTCGTCAAATGGTCATATTCCGTATCAATTTTGGAAAGAAGTTTCTTCTTTGCGTTTTCTAACATTGAGTAAAACTTTGTAATATGCTTATGAATACCTGTCCGCGCTTTCTCCGCCTGACCTGCCAAATACGCCAGTTCATCTTGTATACATATTTCTTGATCCCGAACTGACGTAATTTCACGTTTAAGTCTTTCCACGAATATGCCCATGTCTTCTGTTGTGGATTTTCCTTGAGGTATGAGCTTGACCGTTACCGAACAGTGTATATGCTTCGAGAACATACATTTTCTACATGAGGAAGCTTTACAGGATACGCAGAACATGTTGAGCGGACAGTCGGGGTGGTCCACACACCAATACTCCCGAGCACCTGCTGGAGAACCACCTGCAGTATCTCCTGGAGACGTGCCTGGTGTTCCTGCAACTCTCTTACCCATCAGTTCTTTCATCAGGAAGTTTCCCGGAAAGAAGTCCGCCCATGACGAGGGTGGTGCTCCTTCTGCAGGGACTAGAGTAACCCCCCTACACACAGGGCACAGGAAGGAGGGCGGGGACAGAGTGGCCGAGTAGTTGATGTGCTGTCGTAGACACTGGTGACAGAAGCTGTGGAGGCACGGTAGTGACCTCGGGTCACTGAAGTTGTCGTTGCAGATGCTGCACACGAAGAAGTCATCGTCCAGTTGGATCGTGGCGGACATAGTCGTCACTTAAGTGTCATCACCTGAATGAGTGAGTATAATTGTAAGAGGCTTTTAGCTTATCCAGCAATATCACGGGACATGACACCAGAAATTGAGTGAGAGAGTGAGTATGGTTTTACGCCGCTTTTTAGCAATATTCAAGCAATATCACGGCGGGGGACATCAGAAATGGGCTTCACACATTGTACCCTAATCGGGAATCGAACCCGGGTCTTCGGCGTGACGAGCGAACGCTTTAACCACTAGGCTACCCGACCGCCCGCTCATGATAAAGACAGTTTTCAATGTTCCCAACAGATTATAGTATTCCAACCTTTTTGATTTTGTTCCGTCAAGTCCTGGATGTGTTTCCCACGCAGCGCATCACTTTCCTCAAGTTCCTGTATCTGTAATGATGAATTTTAAGTTGTCTGGCGGATCAATTTATGAACACAGTCTTAAACTAATAACATAAATACAAAGAAAATATTATGACGAAATCAGCAAAATTGGGAGTGAGTGAGTGAGTGAGGTTTTACGCCGCTTTTAGCAATATTCCGGCAATATCACGGCGTGACGAGCGAACGCTTTAACCACTAGGCTACCCGACCGCCCCACCAGAAATTGAATTGTTCCCAAGATTCGAACCCGAGCTTCGGCATGATGAGCGAATGCTTCAACCACTAGGCTATGCCACCGCCCTTTCTGAACCGAACGTCGAGATGGACAATTTATGATCATGAAGACGAAACACATCCCATCTTGAACTGTTTATGCTACCCGGATGAGGAGTGAGTATGGTTTTACGCCGCTTTTAGCAATATTACAGCAATGTCACGGCGGGGGACACTAGAAATGGGCTTCACGCATTGTATCCATTTAGGGTCTTCGACATACGAGGGAAAGTCTTAACCACTGATCCATCCCCACCGCCCCAGTGGGATGAGGAAAACAACAGAATGGAAAGTTTTTTTAACATAACACAAATGCGTTTGCTGCTTATCTGCCATTTGAGGTCAGATATCGACACTCTGTTATTCGTGTTATGATGTCTGTTCGTATGGTTGGACAAGCACACCATCTATGTGGCTGTTTTCACCGTCTAGATGTAATGCTGCACAGGGGATGGCAGTTGAGTCCTTGGACAGAGTTGGCTTGTTTGTTTGTTTGTTGTTTAACACCGCACACAGCAATATTCCATATATATGACGGCAGTCGGCAACTAATCGAGTCTGAACCAGACAATCAAGTGATTGGCATCATGAGCATTGATCCACGCAATTGGAGTACCATGACATGCATCAACAAGGTCAGCGAGATTGATCACCCAATCCCGTCATTCGTCAGGGGCGGTCGGGTAGCCTCGTGGTTAAAGCGTTAGCTCGTCACGCCGAAGACCCGGGTTCGAATCCCGACATGGGTACAATGTGTGAAGCCCATTTCTGGTGTCCCCCGCCGTGATATTGCTTGAATATTGCTAAAAGCGGCGTAAAACCAAACTCACTCACTCACTCACACCGTCATTCGTCTTTCACGGCAAGAATGGGTTGCTGAAGACCTCTTCTACCCGGGATCTTCGAGGGTCCGACTGAGTTGGTCTCGCACAAGCAGGACATAAATCAGTGTGTTGGTGACTCATGATCAACGGTAAGTTATTGTCCTTTCAATCGACAACTCGTAACTTTACACAATACATCACTTGACAACATACACAGATATGTAACGTAGATAAAAATAGATTACAGATTTCTCAAAGGGCATATAGAATACATAAACAGACCCGTGAAGATCCGGGGTAGAATAGGTCTACAGCAACCTATGTTTGCCGTAAAAGGCGACGGATCGGGTGGTCAGGCTCGCTGACTTAGTTAATGCATGTCGTCGGTCCCAATTGTGTGGATCGCTGCTCATGATGTCAATCACTGGATTGTCTGGTCCAGACTCGATTATAAACAGACCGCCGTCATATAGCTGGAATATTGCTGAGTGCGGCGTTAAACAACAAACAAACAAACAGACAGACTAATACCATATGTAAATGACTTGTTGTAAGCGGGGTAAATGGCACAATCTAGATGGGGTTTCTTACCTTACTGAATACTTGAAAATCACTCATGAGATCAGGGTCAGAAAACCAGGTTTTCACCACAACATTCCTCTTGTTACATGACACCGTGAGTTACTCGCCCAGTTTGTGTGACGCTGCACTTTGAACAGTGAGCTATCAGTGCGTGTTGTATCAGATCTAGATAAAGTGTTCATACCGTCATTTATCGTATTGATGTATGGCGCTAATCGTTTGTCGTAAATAAGAACCGCCTCCGTGGTCTAGTGGTAGAGCGTCCGCCCGGAGAGCCGAAGGTCCGGGGTTCGATCCCCGACCGCGTCATACCAAAAGACGTTAAAAGATGGTACTTGTTGTTACCCTGTCTGGCGCTCGGCATTAAGGGGCTAAAACAAGGACTGGTCGGTTCGGAGTCAGTATACTGTGTCTGAGTGGGGTATTCATGTAAAACTGCGGCATGGTATCTCAGTGAGCTAGCACTATAAATCGGCATCAGTCCGGACTAGTACAAGCAGCCACACAAACACACACACGTACATGCACGTCGCTATATAAGTGCAATAATCTTGGACGCGACGTTAAACCCCATTTCACCTCACCGTAAATAAGAGAGAATGTTACGCATGTTCCTTGCTTGAATCATATTTCTAAATTGTGAAAAACAGTCAATGTCATTCATGATACGAGGCCGTTTAATATATATAACACGCAACCAATATAGACATATACATTTGGTTAATTTTGTCTGATAATATTTATTTAAATAATTTGTCAGGTGGAGAGTTTTGTCTGTTACAAATGTTTGGATGCCGTACGCTTTTTAAACACAACTGGTTAGTATAAGTTTAGTTGGATAGTCCATGTTTTTGTACACGTTTGGATAGTAAATGTTTTAAAACGCAATTGGATAGTACATGTTTTACACGATTGGATAGATCATGTTGGAGGCATAGTTGTACTGAGTCCCGTCCCGTCACTGTACCAGGATCCGCTGACGGTAGGCTCGAAATCCACATTCGCCCTGAGTATGATCTTTAAGTGAGTTTCTATGCTCGTAGGTTTTGAAAACGTCAACGACCAGCGCAACAACAGGATTCCTGTCGGAAATACGTTCACCAGTAGTAAAATAACTAATACTGTTCAAAGTAGCGTTGGGGCGGTCGGGTAGCCTAGTGGTTAAAGCGTTCGCTCGTCACGCCGAAGACCCGGGTTCGATTCCCGACATGGGTACAATGTGTGAAGCCCATTTCTGGTGTCCCCCGCCGTGATATTGCTGGAATATTGCTAAAAGCGGCGTAAAATCATACTCACTCACTCACTCACTCAAAGTAGCGTTAAACCTAACTGTTTTTCAAAATCGGACATACCATCGCGAGTCTTTGGATACGTCCGGTACAGAGACTAACATACTCTCACGACACGGTGATAATCACTAAATATATGCAAGATAACGCGCAATGAGTCATGTGTTATTCTGATGCATTACCATACGGAACAAGCAAAGAACAAGTCAATGATTTATTCTGTCACACATATTAACACACAGGTGCAAATACATCCATCATCATGGAGATGAGACCATTTCATCATAACCTCTTTTTTTACAAATACGCAATTAAAGTTGCAGCTAAGCATTAAATAGTAATTTCCAAAGACAGTAATCACTTCACGCACTGCCACTACAGTGCCATCCTCGGTAATACGGGCCACGGGTCAGTTGCGTCCCTTAGTGGTGCCAGAATCCGGTGCCTGGTGAATTGAGTCCCAGATAAGCCCTGAGTCGAAACAACATAGGGCATGTTTTTCAAAGTTTGCGTCCAACTTTAAGCTAACACGTCGTTATAGAACTGGAACACTTCAAAGCGGTGTCAAACCAAACTCACTTACTCACTCGATAAATGAGTATATACAAGTTCCCAGTAGGGTTGCGACGGGTACTCGAGTACCCGATAACGAGTCGGGTAGCTTAGGACTCGAGTCAAATTTTCAGGACTCGATTACCCGTTCAGGGGAGATAACTCTAATCGCCTTTCGTAACTCGTAAGTCAGTTCAAAATGGACGACAAAGCGGACAGACGTTCAAATGTTTTAGGTAAGCCATGCAGGCATTTAATTGAAAATAGATGAATAGATCAATAGATGTTTGATGACCTTTTATTCGCAAAAGCATTACAAACAAGTGGGACAACATTGAACTACCGGTACTCGAGTCCGGTTCGGGTATTGTCTGCCGGGTACTCGAGTTCAGTTTTCGTACCCGGTCGCAACCCTAGTTCCCAGTCCGGTACAAACATGATGAGTATATCCTTGTATGCCAACATGTCCAGCTGTAGATACGCTCGATAAACGTCTTTTTGATATAATGGAATTTCATAATTATCAGAAAATATGTTAAACATTGAAACATTACATTTAAAATATTTCAGTTATATAAATTTTCAATTGGAAGCCATCTATGATAACGAATTCAGAAAATATGTTAAACATTGAAACATTACATTTGAAATATTTCAGTTATATAAATTTTCAATTGGAAGCCATCTATGATAACGAATTCAGAAAATATGTTAAACATTGAAACATTACATTTAAAATATTTCAGTTATATAAATTTTCAATGGAAGCCATCTATGATAACGAATTCACCTTGGAATATTTTTGTTTTCATTGGGTCATTGTGAAATAAGTATCTTGATTAAATAGCACAAACAAATACAGCCCTGACGACTTCAGACGTGTGTGGTGATGATGATGAGTAGGGGCAGAGACAGGTAGGTGCGGTATGGTGGTAGGAAGTGTTCGTCTTTATATCCAGAACACGCCTTCAAAATCAAAGTGGCTTCATTGGTGCGACGTGGAGGCTGGCCGCAAGGTCGTTCTGGAACAAAGAACCACAAGGTTGGTTGGTTTGTTGTTTAACGCCGCACTTGCAGTATGGTGTGCCACAACAGGATGTGGCGTATCTCTTTATCCCCCAGGATTTGAACTGAATAAGTCTGTTATAACGTTTCACGTGTATTATCAGATTAGACGTATACTTAAAGAAATTAGTGCTCCATTACCGCAGGATCGAGCATGGAATGCATCAAATAATCCGTACAATAGGTTCGCTTATGAACGTATTTGTCAGGAATTTAATGTTTCTACGAGTAAAGATTGGCGCATTAAAGGAGCAAACCATGGTCTAGGTGTTCCGTACAGCGGACAAAAAACTGTTAAAGAAGTCAGCGATGATTTAGTTAAAAAAACTCATCAACCATTCGATCCATTTAAGTTGTTACAGAAAAGCAATCTTTTTGTAAGATTGCATAATCTTAATCATGGCTGGGAACTTTCGAGATTGATTGATTGGTTTGTCGTTTAACGCCGCACTCAGCAATATCCCAGCTATATGACGGCGGTCTGTAAATAATCGAGTCTGGACCAGACAATCCAGTGATTAATATCATGAGCATCGATCCACGCAATTGGGATCGATGATATGGATCAACCAAGTCAGCGAGCCTGACCACCCGATCCCGTTAGTCGCCTTTTACGACAAGCATAGTCGCCTTTTACGGCAAGCATGGGTTGCTGAAGACCTATTCTACCCCGGATCTTCATGGGTCTAGAACCACAAGGGATAAGCCCACAACACATTTACAAGACCCTCGTTATGTTCTGTTTGTTTTTACGGTGACTTTCTCATTCCAGAAGGGGCGGTCGGGTAGCCTAGTGGTTAAAGCGTTCACTCGTCACGCCGAGTGAGTGAGTGAGTATGGTTTTACGCGTAAAACCATATTCACTCACTCACTCCCATCCCAGACATATATTATATACAAGTACGTGTATATCGACAGGACAATGCCTTGGATCGTTATCAGAACGACTGCGGGATTCAAACCAATAAATCAGCAGATCCATTGCTAAGGGGAGCAACTCTACATACTTATTTGTCAGAGACATTGACATGAGACAAAGAAACACTAATACCATACATGTTGGTTGATATATGAAGACGTACTTATATTCAAGATATATTAGATTGGTTTGATGCAAAAACGAACATACTGGTATGTTGTGTGAACCGATGGTCATGAACGCATCACATATGATTAACCAGTTAAGTTTGGAAATCAGGTGCAGCATATCGTCATAAGAACAAGCGTATAGTCGACGAAGTCATCTAATCCCCCGCCAATTTTAACATGTTATGGTCTCAAACCAGGTTACTGACCCAACATTTCTCTTAGCCCATGTCAAAATAGCTGCAATGGAAATTTGAATTATCGAAATAAACATTTCTAAAACTCCTTAATGTCAAATGGCACCAGTTCAGTATGTACTTGATACATAGACATGCAATGTTTGGCAAGGAAATATTTAACAGTTTATTTGTTATACTCCATGAGTGAACCCACCCTATATTAAAACTTAAATACAACTTGTTGCCATGGAAACATAAAAAATAAAAATTTATAAAAATTCCTAAAGAGCAAAAGGCACCAGTTCAGTATGTGCCTGGTAGACATGCAAAGTTTTGTAAGAAAGTGTTTAACGGTTTCTGAGTTACGCTCCGGAAATGAACACCACCCTTATAGAACCTAAGTCAAACTTGCTGCCATGGAAACGTAAAAAATTAAAATTCCTAAAATTCCTAAGTAGCAAAAGGCACCAGTTAAGCATGAGTCTGATAGACATGCAAAGTTTCGTAGAGAAATATTTAAAGGTTTCTGAGTAATGCCATGGAAACGATTTCGGGACTCACGCATACACGCAAACACGGACGGACGGACGGACGGACGGACGGAACCCATTTCAATATCCCCCGCCAACTTCGTTGGGGTGGGGGATAATAAGGACATCTGTGGCATCACTTGACTGATTGTTAGTTTTGTCACTAGTTGGTACATAGACTAACATCTAGTCTCTGAAATGAACATATCGTACATAAAAAAACAGTTGTTCAGTAATCTTTAAAAAAAATATAATAAAAAGGAGCCCAGTGACTCTCTTCATTTTCAGATTTCCTGATACTGCAGTGATCTAGACTTGCCAAACATTATAGACTTGCATTGGCTGTATTTGATATATATTTGTATCAGGGTCTGTAAGACAGACTAGTTGGTACACATCGGTAACCTCTCTCTTAACGTACATTCTTCTCTTAATGTTTCTTTGGTTCGCGTTTGTTTTGGCGGTGAGTATATACCGCTTAGATAGTAAATTACCCAGGATGCTTAGCGCGCCACAGCCCATTTTGTGAACCCCTGCTGTGACAATAAGCGCGTTTCACATCAGTGAAGACAAGCATTGCAGGCTGCCATATATATGTACGTTTTGCATGAGATTGCAATCTGTATAAACTGCCTACAACAAAAGCTCGTGCAACATCAATCGTTATACATGTAGGTCAATAGTAATCATTACGAAATATATATTCATATTTTATATTAATAATTCAGACACATGGGAAATGAAAAACATTGATATATAACTTACAGCATATTTGACCTGGTTTGGGTGATATGGTATTCCTCCGAGGGAGTCGCACTTGGCCATGTGTTTCCTCTCTGGGTCTCCTGGCACCAGCACCTCGCTCTCCCCTTCGGCCTGGCATAACATAGTGTACCGTTATACCATGATGACATAACATAGTGTACCGTTATAACGTGCTGGCATAACATAGTGTACCGTTATACCATGATGACATAACATAGTATACCGTTATAACGTGCTGGCATAACATAGTGTACCGTTATACCATGATGACATAACATAGTGTACCGTTATAACATGCTGGCATAACATAGTATACCGTTATAACGTGCTGGCATAACATAGTATACCGTTATAACGTGCTGGCATTACATAGTGTACCGTTATAACATGCTGGTATAACATAGTATACCGTTATAACGTGCTGGCATAACATAGTGTACCGTTATAACGTGCTGGCATAACATAGTGTACCGTTATAACGTTCTGGCATAACATAGTGTACCGTTATAACGTGCTGGCATAACATAGTATACCGTTATAACGTGCTGGCATAACATAGTGTACCGTTATAACGTGCTGGCATAACATAGTATACCGTTATAACGTGCTGGCATAACATAGTATACCGTTATAACGTGCTGGCATAACATAGTATACCGTTATAACATGCTGGCATAACATAGTTTACCGTTATAACGTGCTGGCATAGCATAGTATACCGTTATAACGTGCTGGCATAACATAGTGTACCGTTATAACGTGCTGGCATAACATAGTGTACCGTTATAACGTTCTGGCATAACATAGTGTACCGTTATAACGTGCTGGCATAACATAGTATACCGTTATAACGTGCTGGCATAACATAGTATACCGTTATAACCTGCTGGCATAACATAGTATACCGTTATAACGTGCTGGCATAACATAGTGTACCGTTATAACGTGCTGGCATAACATAGTGTACCGTTATAACGTGCTGGCATAACATAGTATACCGTTATAACGTGCTGGCATAACATAGTATACCGTTATAACATGCTGGCATAACATAGTTTACCGTTATAACGTGCTGGCATAACATAGTATACCGTTATAACGTGCTGGCATAACATAGTGTACCGTTATAACGTGCTGGCATAACATAGTGTACCGTTATAACGTTCTGGCATAACATAGTGTACCGTTATAACGTGCTGGCATAACATAGTATACCGTTATAACGTGCTGGCATAACATAGTATACCGTTATAACGTGCTGGCATAACATAGTATACCGTTATAACGTGCTGGCATAACATAGTATACCGTTATAACGTGCTGGCATAACATAGTATACCGTTATAACATGCTGGCATAACATAGTTTACCGTTATAACGTGCTGGCATAACATAGTATACCGTTATAACCTGCTGCAATAACATAGTATACCGTTATAACATGGTGACATACCATAGCATACCGTTATAACGTGCTGGCATAACATAGTATACCGTCATAACATGGTGACATACCATAATACACCGTTATAACATGCTGCAATAACATAGTATACGGTTATAATGCGCTGGCATTACATTGTATACGGCTATAACCTGCTGGCATAACACAGTATACCGTTATAACATGGTGACATAACATAATACACCGTTATAACATGCTGCAATAACATAGTATACCGTTATAACGTGCTGGCATAACATAGTATACCGTTATAACGTGCTGGCATAACATAGTATACCGTTATAACGTGCTGGCATTACATTGTATACCGCTATAACGTGCTGCAATAACATAGTATACCGTTATAACGTGCTGGCATAACATAGTATACCGTTATAACGTGCTGCAATAACATAGTATACCGTTATAACATGGTGACATACCATAGCATACCGTTATAACGTGCTGACATAACATAGTATACCGTTATAACATGGTGACATACCATAGCATACCGTTATAACGTGCTGGCATAACATAGTATACCGTTATAACATGGTGACATAACATAATACACCGCTATAACGTGCTGCAATAACATAGTATACCATTATGACGTGCTGGCATTACATTGTATACCGTTTTAACGTGCTGCAATAACATAGTATACCATTATAACGTGCTGGCATTACATTGTATACCGCTATAACGTGCTGGCATAACATAGTATACAATTTTAACGTGCTGGCATAACATAGTATACCGTTATAACGTTCTGGCATAACTTAGTATACCGTTATAACGTGCTGGAATAACATAGTATAGCGTTATAACGTGCTGGCATAACATAGTATACCGTTATAACGTGGTGACATAACATAATACACCATTATAACATGCTGCAAAAACATAGTATACGGTTATAACGCGCTGGCATTACATTGTATACCGCTATAACATGCTGCAATAACATAGTATACGGTTATAACGCGCTGGCATCACATTGTATACCGCTATAACGTGCTGGCATAACATAGTATACCTGTATAACATTCTGATATAGCCAGAGTCAATCTAAGTTGAAACGATTGTTGTTTTATGCCACAGTCAGAAATACTGACGGCAGTCGGAACCAGACAAACCAGTGGTTGATAGCATGAGCAGCATTCCACGGCGCCTGGTTACGATGACACACATTGTGACAATAAGTTGAAACCACCCCACGCTGATTTTACTCGTCTCTCTCACCACAAGCACGCACATGTGATGCTGGGAATCTATTCTGTCCTGGAATCACCATAATGAGACATGCGTGGGTTAGTGGGGGTCTGTTCTGTATGGAATACTGTAAGGGACATTCTCGCGGTCTCGACCTTTGGAAACGAGCTAAATATGCCCAAAACACGAGAGTGCGAGATCGCCAATTGGCCAAAATCTCGCATTCTCGTGTTTTGGGCATATTTAGCTCGTTTCCAAAGGTCGAGATCGCGAGAATGCGAGACGGCGAGAATGTCCCTTACAGTATTCCATAGTTCTGTCCCCTGTATCCACAGTGATACAAGCATGGGTTGTTGGGGCCTTTTATGACCACAGTTGAGATGTACTAACGAATGCCCTATCACGTGTATGGTCATCGATAGGACCTCGTTTAAGGATCCAACAATAAATATACGTACGGGTTGAAGTCCTCGACAGTGGTCTATCAGCTGACTCATGCGTCCCTCAAAGCCCGGGGCGAAGGCGCTGGGGTCAAGGGCGACGAAACACTGACCCTGTAAAATACATGTGCATGAGGTCATTCATATATACAAAAACTGCCTTAAAGGGAGACTACTTTCGGGTAAATGTCATAACCCAATTTGCTTGCAGTGCAGTTACTGTGTATGCCAATCTAACAGTTAACGAATAAACCTTGACGGGAGATGTGCACATCTGGAGCGGAGAGCCCCTTTAAGGCAGATTGACAAGACATCTGTTACATCTGGTGTCATATTGACCGATACTAACAATAACGCCTGCGTGAAAATATGTTATGGTATACTGTGAACGAAAAGGTATATTTCAGAAAGCTGAACACGCCTTCGCATGGATCAACAGTGAATGCCAACCTGAACCCTGTAATGATGGACGCCTGTTAGACTGACACTCGTTAAAACCGACGCTCGTTAACAGTATACTTGTTGATACGGACACTACGTAAACCGGATATTTGTTAATGAGGACACCTATTAAACCGGATACTTGTTAATGCGGACACGCGTTGAACCGGATCCTTGTTCATGGGACACTCGTTAAACTGTATACTTGTAAGTGCGGACACTCGTTAAACCGGATACGTGTTAGTGCGGGCGCTCTTCAAACCGGATACTTGTTAAAGCATACACTCGTTGAACCAGAGGCTTGTTAATGCGCACGATTGTACTTGGGACGGTATCATGTATATACATAAGCAGTCACCTACTAGACGTGACTAAGGTAACGGTATTGATTTATTCAATGAATAACATGTGACATATGTTTCACATAATCTGCTGATGGCGAACTGGTATCAGCGAAGGTCGTCTACGGTCGTACGTGTATATGGAAAACAGCATGACGCCCTGCTCATATCCCATGTCCCTGGTAGTGACATTCCCTGACAACCGTGAAGATCCGGGGTAGAATAGGTCTTCAGCAACCAAGCTTGCCGTAAAAGGCGACTATGCTTGTCGTAAAAGGCGACTAACGGGATCGGGCGGTCAGGTTCGCTGACATGGTTGATGCATGTCATCGTATCCCAATTGTGTAGAGGGGCGGTCGGGTACCCTAGTGGTTAAAGCGTTCGCTCGTCACGCTGAAGACCCGGGTTCGATTCCCGACATGGGTACAATGTGTGAAGCCCTTTTCTGGTGTCCCCCGCCGTGATATTGCTGGAATATTGCTAAAAGTGGCATAAAACCATAATCATTCACTCACCCAATTGCGTAGAACGATGATCGTGATGTCAATCACTGGATTGTCTGGTCAAACAAACAAACTCAAACATTCCCTGAATAAAGTCGACCAATCGAGTATGAGCGTTACAAGCTACTACGGGTCTAAAAGAGGTTTAATTACACTATGCAGATATTAAATGACCATGTTCTGTTACACAGGGCGATTGATGTTTTTATCGTTTCACTCTTTTCTGTACACATGATCCGGTACAAGCTCCCAGCGAACGCCTGCTACTCGACAATACTTCTAATATAGACTGGTTCCCGACTGTCAGAGCGTTGTTGTGCTTTTATATATGGTATTTGTGAATGGTCTGTTTTAATGAACGCCGTAGGTGTCGCACACTTCGCCAGGTTATATGCCTACGTTCATTATTATTATTATTGTCACCCCCTGCATATATGCGTGTAAGTATAGGGGTGACTATAATTATGAGCAAAGGTACAGATTAATATTGCACTTAGCTTCTTATTATCAGTTAGAACTGTCAGAAAACTTTAACCTCTGACATGGATCCTTTTACACACGAAAAAACGTATTTCCGACATAACGAACTGACTTCAATGTCAGCCGGTGTTTGAGGCACATCCGTCAGGAATCTGTTCAGAGGTATGATTTATACACATGTGGAAGACCCGTGGCTAAAAACAACCCGTCCTGAGTTTAATCCGCGGGGCAACGACTTTCCGGATAAACGCAAGGCATGGATTATCAACGTCCCATCAATTTTATGTAGATTTCCTCAATTTCGTATTATTGACGAATTTTCACTGTATGCTACTCAAAAGACGGATTAACTGTAGCCACATGAAACCATTGGGTGTTTTTTAACTTCTTTTGGGTAGTATGTTATGCTAGTGCCGAAACTGGGGGCACGGGTGACTCAGTCGTCTAAGGCGCCGCGATTCGCTGTGCAGAGTTGCGTCCCTTGGACACGCCAGAAACCTATAATTAGGGGTTCGAATCCCGGTTCGCCCCGATCATGTTTCTAGGTTTGTCAGCACCATACCCGTGCTCGTGGGTTTCACCGAAGTGGTAAACGTCTGAGACCTGCATCACTTCAGGATTTCCTCCCACATTAAGCTGACATGCCGTGATATAACTGGAATACTGTTAAAAGCGGCGTTAAACCCAACTCACTCAATCACTCACTCACTAGTGCAGAGTCTCACCAGGTTCGCTTCTCTGTCCGTTGTTTTCCACGTTCTGACGTTTGGGCCAAAGGCGGATCCTCCCAGAATGCCACAGAACAACTCCACCATCATGGACAGACCGTATCCCTTGTAGCCACCTGGAGACAGGGACCACATTATATATCTCCCCATCTACCACAGCCCGTAACCCTTGTAGCCACCTGGAGACAGGGACCACATTATATATCTCCCCATCTACCACAGCCCATATCCCTTGTAGCCACCTGGAGACAGGGACCACATTATATATCTCCCCATCTACCACAGCCCGTAACCCTTGTAGCCACCTGGAGACAGGGACCACATTATATCTCCCCATCTACCACAGCCCGTAACCCTTGAAGCCACCTGGAGACAGGAACCACATTATATATCTCCCCATCTACCACAGCCCGTAACCCTTGTAGCCACCTGGAGACAGGGACCACATTTATATCTCCCCATCTACCACAGCCCGTAACCCTTGTAGCCACCTGGAGACGAGGACAACATTATATATCTCCCCATCTACCACAGCCCGTAACCCTTGTAGCCACCTGGAGACGAGGACAACATTATATATCTCCTCATCTACCACAGCCCATATCCCTTGTAGCCACCTGGAGACAGGGACCACATTATATATCTCCCCATCTACCACAGCCCGTAACCCTTGAAGCCACCTGGAGACAGGAACCACATTATATATCTCCCCATCTACCACAGCCCGTAACCCTTGTAGCCACCTGGAGACAGGGACCACATTTATATCTCCCCATCTACCACAGCCCATATCCCCTGTAGCCACCTGGAGACAAGGACCACATTATATATCTTCCCATCTACCAAAGCCCGTAACCCTTGTAGCCACATGGAGACAGGGACCACATTATATATCTCCCCATCTACCACAGCCCGTAACCCTTGTAGCCATATGGAGACAGGGACCACATTATATATCTCCCCATCTACCACAGCCCGTAACCCTTGTAGCCACCTGGAGACAGGGACCACATTATATATCTCCCCATCTACCACAGCCCATATCCCTTGTAGCCACCTGGAGACAGGGACCACATTATATATCTCCCCATCTACCACAGCCCGTAACCCTTGTAGCCACCTGGAGACAGGGACCACATTATATCTCCCCATCTACCACAGCCCGTAACCCTTGAAGCCACCTGGAGACAGGAACCACATTATATATCTCCCCATCTACCACAGCCCGTAACCCTTGTAGCCACCTGGAGACAGGGACCACATTTATATCTCCCCATCTACCACAGCGAATATCCCTTGTAGCCACCTGGAGACGAGGACAACATTATATATCTCCCCATCTACCACAGCCCGTAACCCTTGTAGCCACCTGGAGACAGGGACCACATTATATATCTCCCCATCTACCACAGCCCGTAACCCTTGTAGCCACCTGGAGACGAGGACAACATTATATATCTCCCCATCTACCACAGCCCGTAACCCTTGTAGCCACCTGGAGACGAGGACAACATTATATATCTCCCCATCTACCACAGCCCATATCCCTTGTAGCCACCTGGAGACAGGGACCACATTATATATCTCCCCATCTACCACAGCCCGTAACCCTTGTAGCCACCTGGAGACAGGAACCACATTATATATCTCCCCATCTACCACAGCCCGTAACCCTTGTAGCCACCTGGAGACAGGGACCACATTTATATCTCCCCATCTACCACAGCCCATATCCCCTGTAGCCACCTGGAGACAAGGACCACATTATATATCTCCCCATCTACCAAAGCCCGTAACCCTTGTAGCCACATGGAGACAGGGACCACATTATATATCTCCCCATCTACCACAGCCCGTAACCCTTGTAGCCATATGGAGACAAGGGCCACATTATATATCTCCCCATCTACCACAGCTCGTAACCCTTGTAGCCACATGGAGACAGGGACCACATTTATATCTCCCCATCTACCACAGCCCATATCCCTTGTAGCCACCTGGAGACAAGGACCACATTATATATCTCCCCATCTACCACAGCCCGTAACCCTTGTAGCCACCTGGAGACAGGGACCACATTTATATCTCCCCATCTACCACAGCGAATATCCCTTGTAGCCACATGGAGACAGGGACCACATTATATATCTCCCCATCTACCACAGCCCGTAACCCTTGAAGCCACCTGGAGACAGGGACCACATTATATATCTCCCCATCTACCACAGCCCGTAGCCCCGTAGCCAGCTGGAGACAGGGACCACATTATATATCTCCCCATCTACCACAGCCCGTAACCCTTGTAGCCAGCTGGAGACAGGGACCACATTATATATCTCCCCATCTACCACAGCCCGTAACCCTTGTAGCCACCTGGAGACGAGGACAACATTATATATCTCCCCATCTACCACAGCCAATATCCATTGTAGCCACCTGGAGACGAGGACAGCATTATAGATATCGCGAGATACCGCGAGACTACCAACGCGTCGCGGGCAACATCCGCGAGATACCACGATATTATCCGCCTGTCGATTGCAACATCCGCGAGATACCACGAGATTATCCGCCTGTCGATTGCAACATCCGCGAGATACCACGAGATTACCCAAGTGTCGCAGGCAATATCCGTGAGAAACCACGAGATAAACCACGTGTCGCAGGCAATATCCGCGAGATACCACGATATTATCCGCGTGTCGATTGCAACATCCGCGAGATACCATGAGATTACCCAAGTGTCGCAGGCAACATCCGCGAGATACCACGATATTATCCGCCTGTCGATTGCAACATCCGCGAGATACCACGATATTACCTGTGTGTCGATACCAACATCCGCGAGATACCACGAGATTACCCAAGTGTCGCAGGCAACATCCGCGAGATACCACGATATTATCCGCCTGTCGATTGCAATATCCGTGAGATACCACGAGAAAAACCACGTGTCGCAGGCAAAATTCGCGAGATACCACGATATTATCCGCGTGTCGATTACAACATCCGCGAGATACCACGAGATTACCCAAGTGTCGCAGGCAATATCCGCGAGACACCACGAGATTACTCAAGTGTCGCAGGAAATATCCGCGAGATACCACGAGATTATCCACGTGTGAAGGGCAACATCCGGGAGATACCTAAGATGACCACGTGACTGGTTCTGATTGGCTGAAGCATACTTACTACACTCCTCCGGCCCTCCCAGTGGCATGAGGCCACCATTATCTACAATCTCAGCAGGATTAGAGCACGGCTGAAAATGACATACTTGACGTGAGTCAAAAACAGGTTACTTGTACAAATATGACAAGAGAGGTGTTCACGCTGTAACTATATATACAACCCACACACCGAGGCATCAGTATTCAATATATATTTGTGTGTACTGATCAGTATTCGACTCTAACAGATGGAACACGTGATCAACTTCTTTATGAGGTTTGGTTGTGTACTTCCCAAGGAGTTGAGAATATGAAATAAAAATGATCCTGCGACCGGATAAATGATCTAACGCGTTTTCATCATGTTCGTCTGTGGCTTTGACCATTATTAGAAGCCTATTATTATTATTATTATTATTATTATTAACACGAGATTGCTCTGATTAAAATATCAGATGTAACTGAAGGACTGTACAAAGCGTTGTTAATTCCAATCCTAGCTTACTCACTACTAAGACCTGCCTCAGATCTCAGCCCTACCTTTCCGTCTCTATCAGTTCCCCAGCCGATCGGCGCTTCGATGCCCTTCCTGTCGTTCAGCTCAATCTGCGAATTTATATCACAAAGAAAAATGTATTTCCAAATCCACTTGTCTGCTAACCCAACTTTTATCATGTGTATTTACTTAGCAGTAAATGTCTACCTAGTTACACGTTCGACAATGTCTCAGTTGCGCATATGTCAAAATGGCAATGTCGTGACCTATTTAGTCATTAGGCCTCAGACCAGCACAAAGCAACCTAACGGGACCGCATCTGTGGTCTAGCGGGTAGACCGTTTGCCCAGAGAGCAGGAGGCCGGTGGCTCAATCCCCGGCCGCGTCATACCAAAAGACATACATATGGTACTTGTTGTTACCCTGCCTGGCTCTCGGCATTAACGGGATAAAACAAGGACTGGTCGTCTTGGAGTCAGTATATTGTGTCTGGGTGGGGTATCCATGTTAAACTGCGGCATGGTAGTTCCGTTCCGTGGGGTAACACTTTGAAGCAGCATTGGTCCAGACTAGCACAAGCACCCCCCCCCCCCCCCCCCCCCCCCCCCCCCCCCCACACACACACACACACACACACCCACACCCACCCATCCACACACACACACACACACACACATCCCACACGCACACACGCACACACGCACACGCACACACGCACCCCGGATCATCTGAGCAACGTAATCAACCAAAACCTTGTCAATGTCAATACCTTGCCGAGGGCTACCGCCGTCGTGGCCATATCGAGCACGTAGCTGTCGCCGTTGTTGGCAGGGGCTGCCACACTGATGGGGTTGGTTCCGAGCGTCCGCTGTGACACATAACAAGTCTTAGTTTGATAAAAGCGGTACTGTGGATTCCCCATATGAGTTTGATTCTTCGTATAAGTACACCATGTGTGAAGCCAACGCAAGGGGTCAACGGATACAACGAACACGGATATAGCAAACAAACGGATACAACGAACTGTTATCTCCTATATTATATCACATAAAATTCACGTATATAACACACTCTCCAAAGCGAACCAACGGAGACAGCGAACTGACATCTGATCACCGACAAGCCCATTTACCACTTATTATTGACGTGTTTAACGAACTGAGAAACTCACTCAGTGTCAAGTGTCACTGACAATTGACCAGCTAAAAATGGCTTAATACCTCATCTCATCCCGTTTTATTACAATATAGATCTTGATTATCGATCACATCGTCTTGACTGCTCGCCGCCATTTTGTTTGAAGGAAATGCTATTGAAATGAAAGTGGATTCTGATTGGTCAATAGGAGGGACACAGAAGGGACATAACTCGTAATACGATCGTAATACGATCGAGCCACGAAGTTCCAGCGAAGTTCGTCAAGGGTGGAAACTGGACTTTAGCAGTCAGTCAACACATTTGCCTCGGGAAGATGGGCTAATAGTTGCCCAAAGATAAAATAGGGCGAAAGAGGCGAAATTTACACATAAAACTTTATAATGAGAGTCCTACTTACATCTTTGGCTCGGGTCGGTACCAACAACGGTGAAGTATTTGTGAAGGCCATTCCCTGTGAATACAACGGTGAAGTATTAGTGAAGTCAATTCCTCGTGAATTCACGGGGACAACATGGCAACGATGACGTTTACCCTTCAAAATGTACAGTAAAGTACGGTTATAACGAACTCAAAGGGACTACTAATTTTAGTTCGTTATAACAGTAGTTCGTTATAAGCATATAAACAGCATAACTACAGCAAATAGTCGGGACCAAAAAAAGGAAGTTCGTTACATCCGTCAGTTCGTTATAAGCGTGTTCGTTATAAGCGTAGTTTACTGTACTTTAAATCAAATGCTTATCCTGCCATGGAGATCCGGACTATCACGTTTGGATAACATAACTGTGTCACACAGACCCATTGTCACAATGAAAATGCGTGAGACAAGACGGAAGACTTTTTACAATTCGTAGCGTCTCAGATGAGTGCAGTCAAGTTATACATGTCACGCTCGACTTATGCGTATTAACTTTCATCATAGATAAAACGACGTGGAACCACGATGCAGTGATACGCTCTCAACGATAATCACAAAACTGTATCAGATTATTCTGCATTTCCTCAGTGTCAGTCTTTTAATAATTGGGTCATTCTTGCATCGGCAAGACCCGTCAAGATCCGGGGTAGCCAATGCTTGTCGTAAAAGGCGACTAAGGGGATCGGGTGGTCAGGCTCGCTGACTGGGGTGATGCATGTTATTGTATCCCAATTGCGTGGATTGATGCCCATGATGTCAATCACTGGATTGTCTGATCCACGTTCGATTATTTACAGACTGTCGTCATACAGCTGGAATATTACTGAGTGCGGCGTTCAAGAAACAAACAAAATCTTGCATGGGCAAACAAATCATATCTTTTGAATGTTCGCCAACAACAGGACCCCGAGTTCCAATATCCGCCAATCTTAACACTGTCGTATAGAAAGCGAGCACACACTACACCCCAGTGAGTGAATGTTGTTTTATGCGTTGTGGCACGTGGTCATGTGCAAAGGGCACAGCTCACAAATAAGGTGCAGTAACATGTTCGAGTAGTTGTATACAGTAAACTACGGTTATAACGAACACGCTTATAACGAACTGACGGATATAACGAACTTACTTTTTTGGTCCCGACTATTTGCTGTAGTTATGCTGTTTATATGCTTATAACGAACTACGGTTATAACGAACTAAAATTAGTAGTCCCTTTGAGTTCGTTATAACCGTACTTTACTGTAGTTGTATTGATTCTACGCCTTGACCCACACTGAAGAAAAAGGAACGTGTGATGTCTCCTTTGTTCCAAAGTGACTTTGTTCGAAATACGCCACTGCAGACCCAGCAATGAATGGGTACCCGGTAGAAGGAAGATGACTGTTAACATTCTAGCGCCTCACAGACAGCTGGGGCTGCGTTCTCTCAAGGGAGCTTAGAAAGAAAATCAAGTGCACACTGATCCACCAACATGGGTGGTAGCGCTTTAAGCATGCTCCAACGGGTGGATTACAGCGCATTACAGATAAATATGTATCGTTTTTTTATGATTATTATTATGATAATGATTAGTATTATTATAGCGCCGCAGTCAGCTACATACATGCTATGTCACGGCGACCCGTGAATAACCCAGTCTGGATTAGTAACAAGAGCCATTGAAATCGACCAACACAATGGGGGCGTGACGACCTTATCCAGGCGAAGAGATTTACTACCCGATTCATACAGTGTTGCCATTTATAACAGTGCGCTGGGATTTACCCTTACCCAGGTCCCCGGGGTGAATGAACACTTGGAAGGATAGCTGTGATAGGGACTCTATTTTACAGAATAATACTCGTGAATTGTTAAAAAATACATATAATAAATTGGCTTCTTATTACGCGGTATCTCTACACCTAAGTGTGCTCAAAGTATAAATATTTAATAGTCAAGTGAAAAAACGGGTATGTCTTTTCCTGTTTCTAGAACTGGTTGAGTGTAGAAAGTGATCTTAAATCTACCTGTCAGGAAGTAAATTAATTTCAGCAGCCAACAGACCTCGCTCCGAATGTACAGATCGAGTTGCACTTCAGGCACCACCCGTAACCGAAGGGGCCATAATTGTATACTTGATGTAGTAAGTAGTTAGTGAGTGAGTGAGTTGGGTTTAGCGCCGCTTTTAACATTATTCCAGTTTTTTCACGGCGTGTCAGCTTAATGTTGGAGGAAAGCCCGAAGTGATGCAGGTCTCAGACGTTGATCACTTAGGTGAAACCCACGAGCACGGTAAGAAATCGTAGAATGCCAGAATGCCAATCAAACAGTTAATGCCAATCAAACAGCCACCAGCATGGGTATGGGGAAAGAAATACTCGTCTTAACACGACACGGCAGCTGGGCGACTGTCCGCATCCCGATCGTTTTGTTTAAACAGCAGTGTAACTTACCACTAAACCTTGTTCCATGGCCCGCATGGAGTACCAGCCAGCGATGCCAAAATGGTTGGAACCTGGGGAGAGAAGGCGAGAATATTTATATGTATTGGAAACGACCTGACTGATGTTAATTTACTGATGATGGCATTTTTTCTATGGTATATATATCATACCCACATGACATACAGGATAAACACATTTATCATACCTCCATGTCAGAATGATCAGATCTGATTGCTCCACATGACAATACATTTATAAAATTCTGTACCAACATGAAACAAACGTGTTATAAATAAACATATGAGTTACTTTGATTATTCAAATCATGTATTTTACGTGCATGTACACACGTGGGAACGTGCTGTTCCATATTACTGTTCAAGCGTGGTAATGTATCACAATATGTCCACACATGGATTGAGGACTAACAGTTTGCTGTGGACAGGGGCAACATTTCTTCCCTCGAATAGTCGTAATGAAACGTTTGGATATATTCTTCAGAACATTTGCAGTGTGTCTAAATATACATCACGGTACCATATACTAAACGATAACAGAGTTAGAGCAATTTTATAAATTATCTACACAGTTAAACTAGTGTCGTTAGCGGACCCCACAGAGTGAGTGAGTGAGTGAGTATGGTTTTACGGCGCTTTTAGCAATATTCAAGCAATATCGGGACACCAGAAACGGGCTTCCCACATTGTACCCATGTCGGGAATCGAACCCAGGTCTTCGGCGTGACGAGCGAACGCTTTACCCACTAGGCTACCCGACCGCCCCCCGGACCCTCAAGAAAACAAGGAGATAGTGTAATGGTGTAAAAATATATGCTCAATACAATTCCTCTGACACATTGTCATCAGGTGTGGACTCGAGTCAGATGTGACAATGATGTGACAATGGTATATTAGAAAAATCTGTTACATTTCTTACCCTTCGCCACAACCCATCCTATACCTGCGTCCTTCGCCTTTTGGATAGCTAGGTCTATACAAAACCGCCCTACAACCGGACCTGTAGATAAAGCAAAGCAAAGGGAAGTTATTGCATATGTTACAAGTTGGAGGGAAACTTTCTGTATATCAATGTTACATTGTATATCCGTATATGAATGTAACATTGTATACCTGACCGATGTTACATTGCATATCTGTCTTTCAATGTTACAATGTATATATGTATATCAATGTTACATTGCCTACCTGTTTATAAATGTTACATTGCATATCTGTATATCAATGTTACATTGTATATCTGTATATCAATGTTACATTGTATATCTGACCAATGTTACATTGTATATTTGTATATCAATGTTACATTGCATATCTGTAAATCAGTGTTACATTGTATATCTGCATATCAATGTTACATTGTATATCTGACCAATACTACATTGTATATCAATGTTACATAGCATATCTGTATATCAATGTTACATTGCATATCTGTATATCAATATTCCATTGTATATCTGTATATCAATATTACATAGCATATATGTATATCAATGTTACATAGCATATCTGTATATCAATATTACATTGACTATCTGTATATCAATGTTACATTGTATATCTGTATATCAATGTTACATAGCATATCTGTATATCAATGTTACATTGTATATATGTATACCAATGTTACATTGCATATCTGTATATCAATATTACATTGCATATCTGTATATCAATGTTACATAGCATATCTGTATATCAATGTTACATTGTATATCTGACCAATATTACATTGTTTATCAATGTTTCATTGTATATCTGTATATCAATGTTACATTGCATATCTGTATATCAATATTACATTGCATATCTGTATATCAATGTTACATAGCATATCTGTATATCAATATTACATTGCATATCTGTATATCAATGTTACATTGTATATCTGACCAATATTACATTGTTTATCAATGTTACATTGTATATCTCTATATCAATGTTACATAGCATATCTGTATATCAATATTACATTGTATATCTGTATATCAATGTTACATAGCATATCTATATATCAATATTACATTGCATATCTGTATATCAATGTTACATTGTATACCTGACCGATGTTACATAGCATATCTGTATATCAATGTTACATTGTATATCTGTATATCAATATTACATTGCATATCTGTATATCAATATGACATTGCATATCTGTATATCAATATGACATTGCATATCTGTATATCAATATTACATTGCATATCTGTTTATCAATGTTACATTGTATATCTGACACATGTTACATAGCATATCTGTATATCAATGTTACATTGTATATCTGTATATCAATATTACATTGCATATATGTATATTAATGATACATAGCATATCTGTATATCAATGTTATATTGTATATCTGTATATCAATATTACATTGCATATATGTATATTAATGATACATAGCATATCTGTATATCAATGTTACATTGTATATCTGACACATGTTACATTGATACTGAGGCTAAGATACCCATGTGAGGCTCATCTGGAATTCGCCCGAGAAAGATAAGTAAACAATAACGCTGTTGCGACCTACTGAGCTCATTGAATCATGTCTTCATCAATCATAAATCATTGCTGATCTATTTCTTTACCCATACCAATCGGAATTTCTGCTCGTTGTGGCAAAGTCAATTCGGCCTTGAAGTGTAACCAAAGCGTCAGATAATCTATTATCTCATATCGTTTAATAACAGACCCTGAAACAAATATATTCAAGTCTATGCAAGTCTTAAGATATTGGCAAGTCTAGAACGAGATTACTGCAGTATCAGGACTGAAGCGGGTCTCTGGGATCCTCTTTATTAAATTTGTAAAACTGTAATTTAACATTTTTTTATCTGTAAAATATGTTCATTTTTACAATTCCCTTCCATCGATTTACACCAGCCGAATTAGAAATAAAAGAGACCAGTGAGACCGCTCCATCTGCTTCATCAGTCAACTTGCCTTTTATGTCGAGTGAGTGAGTGAGTTGGGTTTAACGCCGCTTTTAACAGTATTCCAGTTATATCACGGCGTGTCAGCTTAATGTGGGAGGAAAGCCCGAAGTGATGCAGGTCTCAGACGTTTACCACTTTGGTGAAACCCACGAGCACGGGTATGGTGCTGACAAACCTAGAAACATAATCGGGGCGAACCGGGATTCGAACCCACATTCATAGGTTTCTGGCGTGTCCAAGGGACGCAACTCTGCACAGCGAATCGCGGCGCCTTAGACGACTGGGCCACCCGTGCCCCCTCATTTTATGTCGAGCTTTTTCCAGCAGCTCAAGCCTTTGGTGTTTCACATTTCACAACTGTTGAGGTGCAATCGAGCATGCTCTTTCCACAAAGAGCGGCATGCGACTCTTGCTCAAGCGTTGTTTGATCAACGTTACAAAATTCATGGCCTCAGTAATGCTTTCAAAATGTTATGGTGGACATATGGAGGACAATTCAGTGACAAACATGTCAGACGCAATTTTTTATTTTGTCTTGTAGCATATGTTCCCGTGTTTCTTCAGGTGAACAATTGACTTGCTTTTGCATGTGTTTGTAACGCGTGCCACCAATGAGGCAGGATACGCTTACCTTTTCGCAAACACCTGGTATCATCACCATGTGATAGTGATTCATAAACACGTTCATGATATAGTCGGAATCGTACAATTGACTCCGCTATTAGTACAGATCTCTTATGAATATGGAAAATATTTAGTCGCTTTTATTTATTGAATCATACAACAAGTGAGTGAGTGAATATGGTTTTACGCCGCTTTTAGCAATATTCCAGCAATATCACGGCGGGGGACACCAGAAATGGGCTTCACACATTGTACCCATGTCGGGAATCGAACCCGGGTCTTCGGCGTGACGAGCGAACGCTTTAACCACTAGGCTACCCGACCGCCCCGAATCATATAACAAAGATAAATTCTGATATTTAGGGATGGTAGGGGACGGGCCGTGATAGATACTATCCAAGCAATTTAACAAACAACCATAACCGGAAGGCTGGATGTTGCAATTCCCACCACACATGGCAAACTAACTGTAGTCATATAAAATAAAATCGGGCGTTGTTTAACTTTGAGTTGAAGATCATGTAATTATTCCACAAGTACGTTACCCAGCAAGTTGTTGCCGTTGACGAATGCTGTTGCCGCCGTCTCCTTGACGATTGCCGGACTCTTGTCTGTGACTGTCATTGTCGACTGCACATCACGAACATACATGTCTGCAGGTTCAAGAAACATATTGATAATCAAGTCCTTGATGCTGTTTAAATAACACATAAACGTTGAGTAAGTGAGTTGGGTTTAACGCCACTTCAAACAGTATTTCATTTCTTTACTGGGTGACCAACTCGTGTTATTCCGGTACAAGCCGAACAGCGACTCGTGCCCCTCTCGTGCGACCGGGTTCCGTCTAAGCGCAAGAGGGCATAGTTAAAAGAATTGTCAACTCGTTGCGTAATGATTCACGTGCACATGTATTTCCCCATATTCTATACGTTTCGGATGCAATTTAAAACACATCGGGGCATGTGGTATTATACTGTACGATTCAAATGTATCTTGGGTATATTCTTAGAAGCAAGATATATGTAAAATCAAAAATTATTCCCGAGGGATTCTTTGACCGAAGAACTTGAAGTCATACGTGCGTTCTGATTGGTTTGTCGTATTTTTCGCACATAACATTCATCGACAGGGGAAGAGTCTTCTTGCAGGTTACGGAAAGGTGCGAGATCAAATGAGCATAGATCGGTAAGTCTCAATCGCATCAGAGCCATTTCGAAATAACTGGGGCACTGTTGATGGAAATAGCTACAAGATGACTTTAATGTTCGTGTTGCACGTGCGAGATAGCGCAATCAAATCATGACGACAGTCGAAGTATCCTTCGTCCTTACGGCTGTTTCGAAAACAAATCTTGCATTTGATAAATTCCAGTGTTATCATAATTAACCAGACACAGCTTTTTATATGAGATTAAACGACAGATAAGGTGAGGTGAAATTGGGTTTAACGTCGCGTCCAAGATTATTGCACTTATATAGCGACGTGCATGCACGTGTATGTGTGTGTGTGGCTGCTTGTACTAGTCCGGACTGATGCCGATTTATAGTGCTAGCTCACTGAGATACCATGCCGCAGTTTAACATGAATACCCCACTCAGACACAGTATACTGACTCCGAGCCGACCAGTCCTTGTTTTAGCCCCTTAATGCCGAGCGCCAGACAGGGTAACAACAAGTACAATCTTTTAACGTCTTTTTGTATGACGCGGCCCGGGATCGAACCCTGGACCTTCCGCTCTCCGGGCGGACGCTCTACCACAAGGCCACGGAGGCAAACGACAGATAAGACGCAACTTTCTTGGGTCGCCTGATAGCAAAATGAAAATGCACTTCCTTAAGTCTTGGGAAAGAAAATAACCAGTAGAATGCGTGTTGAGTGTTGGACACAGACAGCTGTCACTGTTTCTGATGAGGAATATTGATTTGCAGTGCGTGAAAGAAGTGATGCATCACCTAGAATATACGCATATAAATAATTCACAAATTCAACTACTGGGATTTGTATTGAGATTAAATATTCTTGTCACGAATTTTCGGGAATACATTGTAATTTACTTTTTTTCTCGATATAATTGTGATGAAATGACAAGATTACGGGTGTCATTAACAACGACAGTGAAAATTTATTACAACTACACGGGATGGGGTTGGGCCATGTGAAAAAGAACAGTTCTTAACTTTTAAATAAAAAAGGTATAGATTTAGCACATTATGTAGGGACTGGTAATTCTTTATGGGACAGTGAGGTTGAGGTATTCATGACCACATGTTGCATAAAATAGTGAGTGCATCAGCAAGTTTGCAGCTATTTGCGGCGAGTGCATAAAATAGGGTCAGTTCAGTTAAACAAACACAAGACCCCTGCGCCCCCCCCCCCCCCCCCCCCCCCGACACACACACACACACACACATACACATACACACATTATATAACATTTCATAAGTCTGTTACATAAAGGTCGAGTATTATTAACCTACGGAAGAGTCCATTAAGTCCAAACTGAAGGAACAGTTTCGATAGTTTTGCTGTATAACACAATATTTTTTTACCTCATGAACATACTGATGCACGTTTGTGTTTAGAATTTGATACCCTGCATCAAATAACTCTTGCGAAGGATGTCGAGGGTAAAAGTTCATTGCAAGCGTCCTTCGAACAAAACTAAGACTGATTACTTACAATACTTAATTCATGCTAAACAGTTACGATGACAATGTGTTGCAGAAGTAATCGTATTGGCAACATAATCACCAAAATACATACATTCTATTGATGTTTCATCATGTATTATTGAAAATGGCTTTTACAAGTCTTCTCAAGTTAAAATCGAATACCGCCGATCAACGCAAATCAACATTTTCACTAACTTCGTATTATCGAATGGCACACTCACCAAGTCTGTTGAGTCCGTGACTATAGTGACCTCTGTAGTCTGCTGCCACGAGCAGGTCAGCCAGTGCACGTGCATCATCTTGACGCGTGCCCACGGCTGTCATGCAGCGAACAACAAAATCATGAAACTCTTCGCGCGGTATGAGGCTATTGACTTGGTCGGCCATTGTGTATAGATCTCTGCTGTATGCGACTGGCACAGTTCACAACTGGATCGTGCTTGTCATTTTAAAGGCGCAATGTCGCTTTGATAAATGTTTTGTAATGATCGTAATAAATTTAACAGTCAGCAGATTCTGACCTTCGGTTTTCAGCACACAACATTTACTCTTTGGTGTAACGGATATGAAACGACTAACAAGCCTTATTATAATTGGGGCATGGGTGGCCTTTAATTTGGTGGCGGTTAAATTTGCTGTGCGGAATTGCGTCCCTTGGGCACGCCAGAAATCTATGATCTTTGGTTTGAATCTCGGTTTGCCCCGAATGTTTCCAGGCGTTTTCAGCAATACACCCGTGCTCGTGGGTTTCACCAAAGTGGTAAACGTCTGGGACCTGCATCGCTTCGGGCTTTCCTTCCACATTAAGCTGACACGCCGTGATATAACTGGAATACTGTTAAAAGCTGCGTTAAACCACACTCACTCACTAGATTTTATATACATGTATGCAACGTCGCCCAATTGTAACAAAGAAGTTGCTCATCCATAACAATTGTGTCTTAGTTACCATTCCAACTTCTAAATGCCACTCAAAGAAGACCACATACATATTCTATAGTAGTATAGGTAATGGGGCTTCTGCCGCAACCCCACTGGAGCCGGATTTATATACCTATACCTATACTACAGGGGGAATTTTTTATGTCGAAATGATTATGCGATTCAACGATAGTCATGAGATTGACTCTAGCTCACCACCACCTGGAGTCAATAAATGATACCATTAGTACAAAAACGAAGATGAGACTAAACTAAATTGTAATGAAAATATTCTCTATTATTTTTACTCATACATATACCATTATTTTTAACGAAGTGATATTCAACATTTTTACTAAGTTCTTCGTTCATTTTACTAGGAGACCATACTATATATTCTTCTTGATAATTGGATAGAAATAATTGATGACCGTATTTGGTTGGTTTGACATCACAAATAAAATATATACCTTGTGGTAATTCTCTCCATTTGATAATTTTGTCCCTGAGCATAAATGTTTGGATAGCTTTTTCGAGTTCTTCCTTTGTTGGTTTGTAATTCTCCATTATTATATACTTACGTAAGCATTCTTCTAAATAAATGTATGATTTTATGCGGTGTGATCTAATGATAGTAGGCAATCTATTTTTAATCTCCAACTAATTCTTTGGTTTTGGCACGGAATAATTGACGCGCTTGTTGCCTCCCCTGTTCTATGAACTTTGTTTTCTCATTGTCGCTAATACCACTGGTCTTACGAGATTTTGATCGAATCTACTGCTTCATTGCGTTGTATTTGGTGAGTTCTGACAACACTAAACGAAACTCATCCTCGGATATCTTACAATCAGCCATTGCTGTTGAAATATGATCCTCAATGCTGTTCAACTTTGCTTCGGCGAGTATCCGAATAGTATCGTGTTTTAATGCTTTCTTTTGCAACCTACGAGAAATGAATTTTATCGTTATTCCTGCCAGTCCTGAGACTCCGGCCGCTATTTCCATGCCAAGTACGATAGGCGCGGCGATTATAGTTGATAATAAACCAACACCTGCTACACCGAGTCCCATGCCAGATGTTACAAGCGCGGTGTCAACTCCGTCCAGACCATTCACGGCTCTGCGATACTTTTTATACAATCCAAGTCTCAACTCCCTCTCCTTCTCTATTCGATGTTTTATGTCGCTTATTTGATGTAATCGAAATCCATCAACAGTATCCATCTTTTCAAATGCTTCATCGAGCGCCGGATATAAACCCATAGTGTATATTACCGTCATATAATAGTCTTTAATTGATCTTGCTTAAATGTTTTGAGAGTATACATCAACCTTATCAAATGAATATTATACGGCAAGAATATCTTAGTAAGAGAAATGCTGTCACTTTTAATAATTTGAACCCCCTCGAGGGTTGCAACGGGTGATGCTCCAATATGAATAATACTGCAACGTTGACGTTGTTGTTTCTTGAGCCATTGAATCGATAGACCTGGTAATATTTCGAAGGCATCTTCCGGTGCATCTCCGAACAAGACTTCAATAATAAGCGTAGAAATATTAGGTATTGCACTCAAGTTAACTTTAATATCATTGAATTCAGTAACCAAATTTAAACTAACATTTTTTACAGCCGGACGACTAAATAACATATGACCTGGGTCTTCTGGCAGGGGAGAGACTAACACACTTTTTCGTTTTGATGGGATATAAGCCGCGAGTACGATGCCACTATTTATTATCTTAGTTAAATAGTGGCAATTGTATTACATTGTCTGAGCGTTCCAGGGCCTGATGAATCAACCATTATTTATAATATGGAGTGTTACACTTAAGTATCCTATATGTACAGGTTGGTGTTTTACATCTAATACAGACATTTTGAGGTCTGAAATAATACCCCGCTTTAATTTTTTATATTGTAATGTTGAGAAAGAGTCCGTTCTACCGCTATTATATTTTTCATCTTTAGCTGGAACAAATCTGAGCAGAGTTGAAGGACTTTCTAGTTGAATATTTTCTGTCGTACTGATCTGATCAAGACGGATGCACAACTCTTTATAGGGAACTAAATCGGGTAATGTATCTCCCTGTGCTGATGTCTTGAGTACTGTTATATCTCCATCTGCATATCCAAGTGTAATTACTAAGGTCTCGTAAAACTTTGCATCCTTTTCTCCAGCGTTTAAAATCAGCATCCCATTCGACTCATTTTGTGTGAGACTAATTCCATTAGGCTTAAAAATTTCATCATTGAGTGAGCATACGCTGTAATACTCATCAGGTATAATGTGTTTTTTAATATTTATTACTGTCTCATTATTATATCTTGCAGCACTTATTTTGGTCCACCGCGGGTAATACGTTACATCACATAGAGCGACTTCAAGTTGACCAGCTGAGTTATCGATAGTATGAAGCAGTTGAATAGACTGACCATTTGTTATTCCCGGGAGTGTGACATACATATTAAATATACAATGATACTATATCATAACTTAAATATGAAATCGAGATACATTACTAATCAGTCGATTATAGTAACTGCCTCTGGTTTTGATTTTTTTCGTTAAATTCCCTGATATCTTTGAAAAGTACAGGGTCACGGCAACTAGCGATAAAATGGTGCACGACTGGTTTCACAATCCGATGCAATTTTGGCAGAATCAGTTAAACTTTGCCATATAGTGTGCCACAACGGGATGTGGCGTATCTCTTTATGCTCCAGGATTTGAACTGAATAAGTCTGTTATAACATTTCACGTGTACTATCAGATTAGACGTATACTTAAAGAAATTAGTGCTCCATTACCGCAGGATCGAGCATGGAATGCATCAAATAATCCGTACAATAGGTTCGCCTATGAACGTATTTGTCAGGAATTTAATGTTTCTACGAGTAAAGATTGGCGCATTAAAGGAGCAAACCATGGTCTAGGTGTTCCGTACAGCGGACAAAAAACTGTTAAAGAAGTCAGCGATGATTTAGTTAAAAAAACTCATCAACCATTCGATCCATTTAAGTTGTTACAGAAAAGCAATCTTTTTGTAAGATTGCATAATCTTAATCATGGCTGGGAACTTTCGAGATTGATTGATTGGTTTGTCGTTTAACGCCGCACTCAGCAATATCCCAGCTATATGACGGCGTTCTGTAAATAATCGAGTCTGGACTAGACAATCCAGTGCCTAATATCATGAGCATCGATCCACGCAATTGGGATCGATGCCATGCATCAACGAAAGCCTGACCATCCGATCCCGTTTGTCGCCTCTTACGACAAGCATAGTCGCCTGATATACTGTTAAGATGTAACATAACAATTCATCCATACTACTAAACAGAAGTAAAACCGCTTGTCCATTCGGATCAATCTGACCCAAACCATTCCGCTTTTGAGAGTAAAATAATGCATACGAATCGAAATCCGTAAAAATTGCAATGGAGACATCATTAAAAGTTACCAAAAGTGACGGGGATATCAATATTGCTTGTTGAAATGATTCTATAAAATTTGTTTTCCCTGCTTCAATATTTGGAGCACCTGTGACGGAGCCATAAAACGTATCTGTTATGTAGACAATATCGCTTGAGGCAGTGGCTGCTGGGAAATGATTATGACCTAAATACCCCTCATAGCCTTCGGTGTTAACTATGTGACTGTAGAGAGCTGTGCCTTCATCCAACAGATTACCGAGGTCAGTGGAACACGGTACAGACTGACAGACGCAAATAGATTTGAGCCATGGGACACAAAAGATATGAGTGACCAGAGCTACGGCTGTACATTGAATTCCATTAAACGGTTGAAAAATACTACAGCCTTGATGCAAATTCGACACACTACTCCGATTTTGCTTTGACTTTGCTACCAAACGTTTCACATGTGGCTATGTGCGGTGCACTGATTACAAAAAACACACGGGGGACTGGGTTAATTCAAAATACGGAATATAACTATTCCAAATATTTCCAGTGAACATGAGCATCCAAACAGTCAAAAGTGTGGTATGTAGAATATGGAATTCAGCCTTTATACATTTACCAAGACGATATTTGTTGTTGTGTTGTTTTGTGTGTGGGTGTTTTGTTGTGAGGCGTGGCGTGGCGTAATGTGGTTTGTTTGTTTGTTTGTTTGTTTGTTTGTGTGTTGTTTAATGCCGCACTCAGCAATATTCCAGCTATATGACGGCGGTCTGTAAATAATCGAGTCTGGACCAGACAATCCAGTGATTAATATCATGAGCATCGATCCACGCAATTGGGATCAATGACATGCATCAACCAAGTCAGCGAGCCTGACCACACGATCCCGTTAGTCGCCTCTTACGACAAGCATAGTCACCTTTTACGGCAAGCATGGGTTGCTGAAGACCTATTCTACCCCGGAATCTTCACGGGTCTCCTCATAGATGTAGCTGGGCTACGCAGATAAACGCAATGGCTGAACGATCGCATCCATAACAATCGGTGTTGCGAGAAAAGGTAGAGAAAATCGACGTGAGGGTTGT